TTCTATAAATATAGTCACAATTTCTTTGGTAGAAAACACAGACCTTTTAAAAGACTCTACCAAATAACTTACCACCATATTTCTGTATGTTCTATTCCCAATTACTTATGAAATGATCCATGACTTTACTAACTGGCTAGAGATTAAGTTTCCATAATACAAACTCTTGCAAAGATGACAGCAATTTAGCATCCGCAATTGGTCAAAAACAATCTACAGAACACACTTAAGGAATTGGAGTAAATTAGAAGATAATTCTTTTACATAAAAAAAAAGTGATAAGAAAAAATTCAGAAGTAGGTTCCAAATATGGCTTTTACATTTCAGAAATTTTCTCATTTCTTCACCAGAAGTACTGGAGAAATGTGACTCATTTATTGAGAGCTTTCAAAGTCCACTCATGGTAAGCAACTGATGAAAATGATCTTGACCAGAAACAGTGAGAATCAAAACTTCTGGTGGTTAAATCAGGTCCTACCAACACACCTTCAATAAGCTAGTGCTGGCAAACACCCCTTAGCCTTATGTTTGTGGTAATTCAGTTGTTCTCATGGCAGCATGTCAAGATGTCATAAATAGCGATTTATTATTTCTCTGGAGTATCAAAAAGCTGCTGACCTAAGAGAGTTTGACAAATAAATGCCCTGTTTACAAAGGAAGGCTTCTAAAGGGAAAAAAGGGCACGCACCACTTTTATAATGTATCAAAGTTTTCTCTTTTATGCTCTTGCTTGAATACATAATAAGCCTTTAAAAATGAAATGTCAAAATATTACAGTAATATAAGAGGCATCTCAATTATCTCCTAGAAAAGAATGGGATATGCTTTCAGACTGGTCAGTAAAATGACTTACTTTAAACTTAATTAAAGGAAAGAAGTTTTAAATAATTATTTGCCAAAGTCTCACCTTCTAGTTATACTGTCAGAAATGTTTTAAAGAGAATTCAAGTATTAACAATATAATACAAGCAGAGGTACTTTTTGTGTGTGTATGTCAAATTCCAACCCTCCTGTGTTGGTCAAAGCACTTTTCAAGAAACCTGACGAGAAATGCTCAAAAACCACTTTAAAATTGAACAAAAGAAAAGATCTAAGGCTGCTTTGAACACACTCTTGCAGTGAATATTTTCTGTGAAACACCACAGTGCAGCCAGCCTAGAAGCTGGGATGTAACTGATGTAACTCATAAGAGAAAGGCTGCATTGAAGGAAGCACTCCCTCGCCTCTTCCAGTTCTTCAAGGGTCCTGATACCCCAAACTCCTAATTTATTCTACAATATTCTTTACCAATACAGAGTCTCTCTTTAATACCTTCCAACAAGAGAGCTGGACCTCAGTCTAGCGGTGTTTTTTCTTTAGTCCATGCCAATAAATATCATTTGCACCTAATAAGTATCTCCAAATCCCTTCTTTCCAGCAGCTAACGTTTGAGTTGTCAGCAAGCTTTAAAAAAAAAAAAAAGGAAAGAAAAAATCTAGAATAAAAGGGCAATTAGATTCCTAAAAGTGTGTCTCAATTTGCATAACAATGCACCACCTTGCCTTCAAACCTGACACACCTCTTAACACTTTATCACTGTGCTAGCAGTGGGCTGGAAGCCTACCAAGTCTAGTGTGGGCAAACAAGCCTTGGGTAATAGTCCCCCAAATAAATGGTGGAAAGTATTACCCAAAACATCTGAATGTGCCTCTGTAAGGAAATACACACACATTCAACACTGGGCATGGTTTTTATTTTAGTACAACTCTCAGTGGTTTCTGAGTTGTACTGGTTGGGCAGGAATTTTCTCCACATGCAAGCAACAATCTCTCTGCTCATACAAGCATTCTGTTCCTACAAGCATGGCATAACCAGATGTAAATAAGTAAGTCCTTTGAAATGGAAGTTTAAAATTTAACCCTGCTATTGGTAACGCACAGACGTGAAAAGTAACCACTCAATACAGCAGACAAACGTGTATCCTTAATGTCTTCCTTATGCTCTACCATTACACATACTTGGGAAGACAGGCTGCACATAATGACAACGATGACACGAACCAGGGTCGCTTTGATTTTTCAAAAGCACCAACCTCCTTCAGGTCAGGCAGGGAGGAGAACAGGCGACAACCTTGCAAAACTCTCCCAAAAGTTATATAAACAAAGGAGGGGAGAAGCCCAAATGGGTTCTGCACCCATGTGCTACTAAAATTACATAACAACCGGTGCAGGCACTAAAGAAGGAATGGCTTCTGCACAACACTCCCACTTCCCTCGACCCCCGAGCCTGTCTCCTTCTTCTTGAAAAGCCAAACGCCTGGCAAGATCAAGTGGACAACTGTGAATATTTATTTTATTGCTGGAGTAAATCCTGCCAGAGTTGGAGGCACGTTTAGGCCCGAAGTTTGAATGTGCAACACACAGGGAGCAGCGACTCCACTCTCGGGACCCGCAGGAGAAAGAACTGACAAGCGACAACATCCAGGAAGGCCTTCTCCTTCCCCCTCAGGATGCCTCCCGCTGGAAAGTTTCCACGCAATCGATCGAAGGGCAAGGAGCCCATTTCCCCCGCCTGCCTGACTTTGCAGGAAAAGCGAGCGGGGAGACCAGAGGGAGCGGGCAGGGAAAGTACTGGAAAGATCCGCACCCAGCGGGTGGCGGCGACGCAGGCTGCTTACCTGGGGTCCGCGGAACAAAAAGAGGAGCGGGGCTCGCCGAGCCTGCGGTGGCGGCGCGGTCGGCGGCCGGGAGCCGGTGTCCGCCGGAGCCCTAGGCCCGCGCCGTAGCCCGCGGCCCAGCCCCGGCCGCCGCTTCCTCGCTCGCGCGCGTCATGTCACGGCGATCAAACATGTCTGTGTGCGCTTCGCTGCTGTGACTTCCTGATTCTCTGCTGCTCGCGCGCGCACACTCACCCTCACAGCCACACGCACACGCCACCTCGACCTGCCCCCGCCACCAACCTGGCCTGTCCTCCCCGGGCTCTGGGGGAGGGCGCCAGCAGGGGCATCTGCCCGCGCCGCTGCTCCCGACGCACTGGCCCCGGCGCGCACAACACACTCACATTCACGCGCGAACACACTCGCGTCGGCCCCGAGGGTTCGGAGACGCGAGCCACGGGAGCTCGCCACCCCCCTCCACCCCCCACCCCACCCTACTTAGCTGCCCTGACAAACTTTTTTTTCCTGCCTGATCCGCGTCCAACTTCCCTCCACCCCCACCCCCCAGCAGTCCGGCCAGCCCAGCGCTCACCAAAATCAGCCGCAAACTGCAACCCGGATAAAAATAATAATGCAGCCCAGGCGGCGGGGGCGAGCGCGCAGCACTGGCAGGAGGCGATTTCCCCGCGTGTACCGGAAACCGGCCCGAGTGCCCACATCAGGGCGCGGGTGTCTGCCGGAGCCCGCACTACTGCGTCCGGCCCGCGCGGTGCAACTGAGCCCGGACTGCAAGGTCCGGTGCGGGGGCACCCGAAAGCAATTGGACTCGGAAGTGCGCCCCCGCAGCCGAAAGGCGGGCGAAGGGTTTGGCGCGGCCGGACCGGGTTAATTTGGGGGGAAGTGCCATCGGGAAGTGCATCGCGACACCTTTGCAGGAGGCATGGCCGTGTTTTCCAACGCAAGTGGGAGGAGGGAAGACTGAGGGGGAAAGCAGAAGGGGTTAACCAGGTTGGGATGGGAATAGAGCAACTCGAAAGCAGAGACCCAGAAAGATGGGTGCGTGTTATTCTTGGGATTAAGCTCCCACTGGGTCTCCCCGCCTCCCGTCCTCACTCCCCCCCCACCCCCCACGTCCTTCTCCCCGCTGAAGCCCTTCCCCTTCTCCAGCGAACGCCACCATCGCCGCCCGGGTGTGCGCGGGTCCTGTTTGTGACAGTAAGGCAGAAGAGGATTATCCGGATCATGGCCTCCCGGCCCGAAGCCACAGTCTCTCTCCCTGGCCCCAGAGCGCCCCTAGCACCCGGACAGTTGCGGGCGACCTACGCCTGCGATTCCCGCGGCTCAAGCTGCAGGAAGACTCAAAGCAAAAGAAGACAAACCCGGGGAGGGAGAGGGCAGGGTAAGTGAGCCCCGCGGGCACCTCTGACCTCCTTCGGTGCCTCCTCCCTCCTTCCCAGCTGTGCGGCCCGGGCCAGACACCCCGAACTTCAACGCCCGAGCCCGCGCCGTCGCCAGGTATCAGGAGCAGGAACGCCCGCAGAGCCTCGGGCACAGCGCCCTGGCAGCCCTTTTCCCTAAAGGCCTGACTACCGGTCAGCATTCCTACCCCCGGGCGCCCGAGGGAACGCGCAAAGTGGAGGTGACACCTCCGTTCCGGCACGCACCGGCCCCGCGGCGGTGGCAGCCGCCGCCTCGGCGCGCCGGCCCAGGCTTCTCCGGCCGCTCGCTCGGCTCTCTGCAGCCTTTTAAACTCGTCTCCGGGAAGCGAGTGGCAGCCGCGATCGTTGGCGCCTCGCCGCCTGTCCAGGCTCCTTGCCTTCCTCTCCCGCTGCACTTCCAACTCTTCCGGGGAGGACTGAACGGCCGCATTTCCATTCTCCTCCCCAGTCTTCCAGCCCCCTCCCGCTTACCCCCCAGGCCTTTAAGGGAATGGGGAAGGGGTGTTGCCACCTTGCCAAGTGTGTGCATTGCAACCTTGAGTTGGCAGCGCATCGCTGCCTGCCTAGCCAGGGTCAAGGCTGTGGTTTGTTGGGATTCCCCCTCCTTGAAGTAGTAATTATTACTGTTATTAGAACAGCGAGGTTCGGTTGAAACTTTCCCGTTTCTTCCACCGTCGCCCGGGTTCTGTCGTTAGAGCATTCCACCTGAGGCCCGGGGGGAGGAGGCGGGCTTTTTTTGTTGTTGTTGTGGCGGTTGGCCCGCCTGTTTGTTTTGATCTCGTCGCATGCACAATAAATAATAATTAGGATAATAATGAATAATCCCCGGCGCGGGCGGCGCGGTGCCGGAGGGGTTTGTGAAGCGGCTGCAGCCGGGAGGCCGCGGGGAGGGGAGAGAGGAGAAGGGAGTTGTAAGTTATATTTACCTTGCTCGCGAGGAGTGTGCTGGCTGAAGCTCTTCCCTCTCTGAGTCACCCAGAGTACAGAAACGGAGGAAGAGAGGACTAGATTATGAATATGACTTCATTGATGACAGCCATCCCCTCCTCTTCCTAAACTCGGGCTCCGCCCCTCGCCACCTCCTTGGGCGCCGGAAGACGCGCCGCAGTTGGCCCCGCGCGCCGCTCCTCCCTGCCCGCCCCGGCGCGGGTTGGCGGGAAGCTCCTGTCACTCGACCCCGCTCAGCGACTCCGGGAGCTCGGGGGGAGGAGGGGGCGGTGTGCAAGAATGTGGACGGAGACAGCTCTACTGTATGCGTGGATCCGAGTGTCTGCGAGGCGCCGGCTCTCCGCCGCGTTTGTGCCTGGAGCAGAGAAACTGCGCAGGACGCGGAAAGCCCAAGCCTCGATGGAGTTGGGCGGCCGCCCTCCCTCGGCGCAGTCCTCGTCCAAGGGCGCTGCCGGGCACCCCGGGGGCTGGGGGAGCGGTGGGAGGCGGCCGTAGTAATAGCGTGTAGTAGTTTGGGGTTCTGCGGAGAAGGTGCTGGAATTTAACTGTGCCTCCGCCTGCCAGAGCCAGCCTGCAGAGGGAAAGGGAGGGGACAGGGGAAGGGCTCCGAGTGGCACCAAAGCTGTTTGTGGTACAGTGTTGACCATGAAAAAAACAACAAAAACCAGGCATTGTCTTGCGGGCTGAAACTTTTTATCGCTCTCTCCCGCCAACGTCCGCCCCCCCCTCCACCTCCACCCCCCCGCCAGCTGTAATTATAAATCTGCCCCCTTTCTCTTCCGCAGAGAGGGAGGCAGGCACAAAGAACATTCCTGCCAAACCTGCCTCTTTTCTAAAGGACCTCAAGCTTCCAAATGCCAGTGGGGGAAAAACAGCTGAGGGGCCGAACGCCTTAAAAATAAATAAACCCGCCCCAACCCTTCTGTTCACTTTGTGGACCAGACACGGCACTGGGACGTTCCCTCACCTGTCATCTTCGGTAAAACAGATACAAAAATTTGGAGAAACAACCCCTTTGGGGGCGGGGCGGGCGGGTTAGGGGGGAGTTGAAGCATGGAATCTGCTTTTGATTTAAGGAGGGGAATAGATCTCTTTTTCTCTACAGACCACATAGAATCTTCTCTCCCACCCCACGTTTAAGACCAATTAAAGCTACAAACAGTAAATTGCTGGCACTTTGCGGTTTTGAGATCTCTTGTTCCAGTTTTACCAGCAATACAGTACTTTGGCGGGAGGAATGGGTCAGTGTTTGCTGAGACAATTTTATTTTTAGTTTTATGAAGTGTGAAAGAATGTTAGGTTTTAAATCACGGGCCTATTATTTTAGACTCAGATTGATGTAGGTGCTTGACTCTTAAAATTAAAACTGCTCCTATACAACAGTGTTATGAAAGTATGATTTATTCTTTATTTTGTAATGTAATGGCTTAAATTAGTCATTCAAAGTGCACTGTGACTACTTGGTTGAGGATTTTTCTCCCTCGAGTAAAATCCCATTTTAAGGCCACTTCACTGTTGCAAATTGACTCTATTTGAGCAATCTGGTCTGAAATGCAGTTCTAGGATGCTTAAAACTATGCGCTGCATCCCTTGAAGACGCCAGGCAATGGAAAGAACACCGAATGCTGCATGTGGTCATAAAGTGGCAAGAATTGTTTACCTTGCTGGTCCACTGCTGGCCCAAGAGGAGTCTGCAAGGGACCATTTTCAGGGGTGTCCACAATCGCCCACCTTGTCCTTTTCTAAGGCCTTGCTATTTGCTTGTCAACTTTATCTTCATAATTTTCTGTCTATCCCAACGTGAATCTCAAGACAATAAAAGATAACACATCTAAGAGAAATTGAATATAGTGTGCCCTGAAGAATCTTTTGTAAGAACTTTCTCTGCCTGAGGATATGCCAGTGTAACTGCTAACTGGAAAAAAAATACAGCAAGGAATCTTAAACAAAATTAGCAATGTAGTAAAGTATAACTTCTAACTGCCCAATAAATTGCAACCAGTAATATAGCCAGATAGCCTCGTTGTCTATAAAAGGGCTTTAACCTAGTGGCAATACTTACTACATTAGGTAATATTAGGTTTTAATTTTGGGGAAGGGGGAGGGACTAATTTGTTTTCCTGACATGCCAACCTCACATGCCATTTTTCAGAAATTGATGTCTTTACCATATTTCCTTGAGAATAAGGGTCCTTTATCCCTTTAAGACTCTACCTCCACTTGCCATGCCAAATTTCAAAAGGAGAACAATCTTAGTAAGACACAGGAGGAAGAGATTAGCCATTTTTTCTGGCATTTTGTCAGAGGGAAATGGCTACATATATATTCTTTGTTACATATATATATATTCTTCAGCTCATATGAAATGTTGATGCAATACCTGGAGAGATGGGTATCCATGTATTATATGCACAACTGTGGGAACTGAAAAATAAAACCTGTCATTGGGAGCAGAGATTAAATATAGATATTCCATCCCGTACTCCCTTCACAATGGTCTAAGAAAGCACCACCTTCTCCCTTCAGGTCTTTCCTCTGAAGAATTTTCTTGTTTGTAGCTTGCAATGCAGCAAGTATGAATTTTATAAAATAAGACTTAGGCTCAGGAGAAATGAAAAGGCAGCACCATTCACTCGGTACAAAAAGAAGATTGTAGAACATATAGCATGAGCTTCCCATCTGAGGTAAAGCAAAATTTAAGAATTGATGTTAAGGAGAAAAATGATGGGGTTCTGTTGTTTTGCAGAAAATCACATGAAAGCAAATATAGTTGGAGGCTAAAAGGACTCTGGGAGGCTGCACAGGATGTTATACTCACATGAAGCTTTGCCTTTAGGACTTTGATGAGTCATAATGTGTTCTCTGAACTTGCTTTTTCTCTATCTAGTTTAGTTACCAAGGGATAGAAGTCACCTTTTCATGTTTGTATGGCCACATTCACTGGTTATGTAAGCCTGCCATGGTTGACGTTCTATATAGTGTAGATTTTGGGGTTGAAAACTGATATGTAGTTATAACACCTTCATAAAGAAAATGACCATACACAAAGTTAGGCAGCTTCTAGTCCCACCGGGCAAACTGTTGATGCTGACTGAAATGTTGTCCAGCTTCAAACAGGAGCAGGTAAGGCCATAAGGAATGAGTGTTTTATCTGCAGTAATGGACACTAAACTTTGACAAAGTGAATCAGCCGACATTTAATTTAGTGAAAGGCCATGACGGGGTAGCTCAGTTGGTTAGAGCGTCATCTCAATAGCTGAAGGTTGTGGGTTCGATCCCAGGAAGGGAACATATAAAAATCAACCAATGAATGCATAAATAAGTGGAACAACAAATCGATGTTTCTCTCTCTCTCTCTCCCCCTCCCCCTTCCTCTCTCTCTAAAATCAATAAATAAAAAATTTTAAATATTCTTTTTCACCTCTTACTATAGCCTTTGTTTTAAAGTCTTTTTGCCTGTTACAAGTATTGTTATCCCAGCTTTTTTTTCCATTTCCATGAAATTTTTTTTTCATCCCTTTACTTTCAGTCTTTGTATTTTGTTCTGAGATGGGTCTCTTTTAGACAGCATTTATATGGGTCTTATTTTCTTTCTTTCTTTTTCTTAAATATATTTTATTGATTTTTTACAGAGAGGAAGGGAGAGGGATAGAGAGTTAGAAACATCGATGAGAGAGAAACATCGATCAGCTGCCTCCTGCACACGCCCCACTGGGTATGTGCCCGCAACCAAGGTACATGCCATTGACCGGAATCAAACCTGGAACCCTTGAGTCCACAGGCCGACGCTCTATCCACTGAGCCAAACCGGTTAGGGCGGGTCTTATTTTCTTATCCATTCGGCTACCATAGCGTCTTTTGATTGGAGTGTTTAATCCTTTACATTTAAAGTAGTTATTAATAGTTACATATGCACTGCAATTTTATTCTTTAGAACTATGTTCCTCTGTGTTTTTTTATTTCTTTCTTTTTTAAAATAAATTACTTTTATATTACTTGTAATACTGGTTGGCTGGTAATGAACTATTTTTTCCTTATTTTATTTTTAAATATATTTTTATTGATTTCAGAGAGGAAGGGAAGGGAGAGGGAGAGAGAGATAGAAACATCAATGATGAAACAGAATCATTGATTGGCTGCCTCCTGCACACCCCCTACTGGGGACTGAACCCACAACCCCGGCATTGCCCTGACTGGGAATCGAACCCATGACCTCCTGGTTCATAGGCTGATGCTCAATCACTGAGCCATGCCAGCCAGGCTCACTTTCCATTTTAAACGATAGCCTTGCTGGGTAGAGTAGTCTTGGTTGTTAGTTCTTGCTTTTCATCACTTTGAATATTTCATTCTGATCCCTTCTGGCCTGAAATGTTTCTGTTGAGAAATCAGCTGACAGTATTATGGGAGCTCCTGTGTAGGTAACTAGGTGTCTTTCTCTTGCTGCTCTTATGTTTCTCTTTTTGTCTTTAACTTTGCCATTCTAATTAAGCTGTCTTAGTGTGGGCCTTTTTGCTTTCAACTTGATTAGGACTCTCTGTGCTTCCTGGACTTGTGTGTCTTTTTCCTTCATCAGATTAGGAAAGTTTCCCCCATTATTTCTTCAAATAGATTCTTGATCCCTTGCTCTCTCTTTCTTCTCCCTCTGGTATCCCTAGGATATTATGATTGATGTTATAGCAGAGGTCTCTTAGACTTCCCTCATTGTTTTAAATTCTTTTTTGTGTTGTTCTGCTTGAGTGTTCTTTGCTAACTTGTCCTTTAAATTGCTTCATCTAACCTGCTGTGATTTCTTCGAGTGTATTCTTCATTTCAGACTGGTTATTTTTGTTGTTGGTTCTTCTGTCCTTTTTTATGCTTACTGCCTCCATGTCTAAGTTCTCAATGAGTTTATCCAGTCTTCCTTGAGCATCCTCAGAATCATTTTTGAAAACTCTCTATTTGGTAGATTGCATGTTTCCATTTCATTTAGTTCTTTTTCTGGGGCTTTATCCTGTTCTTTCATTTAGGGCATTTTTCTTTGTCTTTTCATTTTGGCTGCCTCTCTGTATTTGTTTTTGTGTGTTAGGTAGATCTGCTATGTCCCCAGTCTTGGT